GGCGCCCTCTCTGGTTCTCTTCATACCGGCCGCGTCGCCTGCTCACTCACGTCACGTGGTTTGTTCGTGAGCATTTATCCGGCATTTTTATGCGTTTTAAACGCGCTATCTTGTAGAAATTATTATATATATTATATAAACGTAATATACAACGGGTTACCGAGGCTAACAATATCAAATTTATATTCATAATTATCCCCTTAACTGCGGGACCAGTGCAATCCCGCAGCTCCCCACACTTTTTGAATGACCCTCCTCTGGTACGACATCTCCTTCCCCCCTACCAGCTCTGATTCTGGCAAATTTGCGTTGTATGCGAGCTTCTGACAGTCTGAAAAGGAATGCCGAGACATTTTATAGGAGAAGGGAACCGAAAACAATTACATGTGTCAGCAGACTTGTACCGTACGCATTCCAAGTAATCAAATTACTTGTAATCGATCACTTTTTGGAGTAATTTTGTAATCAGTTGATTACTTTTATTAGGCAGTAATCACAAGAGTAATCTGATTACTTTTTGAAGTAATAAAATTACTTGTAACCGTTACAATTTGTCCACGGGACCCCCCCCCCCCCCCCCCCCCCCGGCACACGCCTTTGTTTTATGAAACGACAAAAATAAAGTTTGCTTTTTTTTTTCCAACGGAAAAAAGAAAGATTTTTGCGGAGCTGTAGGAAACGAGGTCAATCTCTTTCTAGGTACAGTTTCTGTGGAAGGTCCGTTTTTTTGTTTTTTTCGAGCTGGGACTGGGAGTGGGATGCCCCAGGGAAGCCACAGTGCGTGACAAAGGCCATTCAGGGCGAAGGTTGAGAAAGCAGAATATTGCTTTGAAAGTCCTTCGTTCAAACTAGCCCCCTCACGCACATACACACCAAAATAATAATAAAAAAAAAAACAATCCTGCTTAGGGTATTTACTCGCAGCCCCTAGGAGAACCAGAATCGAAGAATGCCTAAATCGGATGCAGAATATAACAAAGGCAGTTGAAATATTTCCCCATTTACCCTACGCGGTGTTTGTGACAAGCAGTGTTTTGAGTTGAGAAGTGGTCGGGGTAGGGTGCCTTCATGACCCGCTTCGCTCTAGGTCGGGGCGATCTCTTCCGCTAATGGATGCTACACATGATCCATTTCATATCCTGGAGCTGCTGCCCTTTTGTATAACATGCGCGCTCATCCACATGTGAATAATAAAATGAGCGACGCATACTTTGAGCGACAACCCTTGCTCAAGCTTAACAAGATCTAGAACCCCCTCCGCCCCCCCCCCCCCCCAACACACACACTGGCGAACGCCCAAACATTAAACGTCTTCAAACGAATTCTATGCTTATGTTCGCATAGTGAAGGTGCAACGACCACGAAGAGGAAGCCAGTCTTTCTTCTTCAATACTTGTGCAAATGTGAAATATAGGTTGGAAGTAGCTCATTTTAATGAGCGCTAAAGATGTGTCTTCATACAATAAAGTAATCGGAAAAGTAACGATTACTTCTTTAAGTAATGTCCAATTATTTTTGCCGTCGAGTAATCAAGTAATCTAATCGAATACTTTTTAGCCAAGGGTAATAGTAATTGTAATCGATTACTTTTTTTTAGTAACGTGTACAAGACTGCATGTGTGTGAACGCTCCGGCCGAAGGCTTAGCGAATCACGAGGTTGATTTTATTAGAAAGTCGGGCAGTTACATCTAAGCGTTTGTCAGTATGACAGAGAAGGGGAGTAATATAGGTTTGATTGTTTTTTGTGCCCATATTGATCATTTTATGTTTACTTGCGGTACCTTGCAGAAGTAAATTGTTTAGATGTAAGCCAGCGCTGTGCCTGTGTTCGCCTTCCGCTGCTAATTCGTCAGTCTGCGCTGTTTTAATACCATTACAACATGACCAAGCAACTAGCCCAACTACACACATTGTTAATGTTTCATGGTGGGAGCTCAAACAGTAAAACGGTAAATAATGTTCGAGTTTCTTGGCAGAAACTGTGAGATAAAATGAGTAAATAATGCTTAGTACTCATTGTACAAACTGATACACTAAATTAGTAACTAATAATTAAGTTTTGTGTAAGAACTAAAACAATGAATTAGTAATACATTTTTGGCTTTATTTGTAAAAAGTCAGCAACAACACGGATAATTAATAATTACGTTTGAAGGTACGAGCGAATCTGAAAAATATACCGGTTCAAGGCGGTTTAGGAGAATGGGCGGTAACGTCTGCCATGATGAAAATGACAGGCTACATCCGCCCAAAACCTTTTGTGATAAAGAAATGTTCACGCACCACATTTTCGGAATACTATCTCAATATGTTTTATCTCTATATTGTCCATTCCTATCTTGTGCTATGCTCTGGCATGCTAGAACTTTCTGTGTCAACTAAAGACACGTTCCACGATATGTGATAAGATACATGACGCAACAAGGCAATTCTGTTCTGACGAAATTCGTTAAGTGTGTACTTGAGATTCTTAATCTCTGTATGGTCGCCTGCGCTTTATCTTCGTATCGTGCTATGTCCCGATTCATATTTTCCACGAATTTCCTTTCTGATATCAAAATTGTACGTTTCTTCTTTCTTCTTTTTTTTTTTCTTCAGGGCTGGTGCTTCCAGAAGGAAAAATCCATCAATGTAACGCTGTTTGGCAGTCAATGTTTTCTAGTGGACCGCTGACTGCGCCTGACTGTACGTCAAGCATGTCTGATTGGCCAACAAGTTACTCTGACCGACAGTCAAACTCCAGTCAGACCCCGCTTGTCGGCTTTCTGATGGTTTCCTGGTGGCAGTCGGGCGCCGCAAAATGCCATCAGGACGTCCTGGTGGTGATTTTGACTGTACATCGATTGCCTCTGACTGTACGTCGGAAAGCTTTGACGTGCAGACAGAAGTACGGTCAAAGGACGTAAGGTTCGTTCGGATACCACTATTTCGTCAAATCTATGAATACGAAAAGTAATCTATGCACGAGAAAACGATTTCGGGACGTGAGCCCATAAAACCGCTGACGTTAGAGATGTGACACGCAACCGACCGACAACCGTGATCAGAAGCCCGCCGAAGCGCCGAACACGACACTTCGCACTTCGCTTCGCCCATAGAGGCTTCACCGAGCTTTCATGAACGATCGCTCTCGACTCGTTTTGTTTGTCCGCATGCTCCAACCAGTCGGTCCTGCCCGGGCTCTACAATGTCTTATGTTTTAGTAGAATTTCTACTCGACAAGACCCAGCCCTTGTGAGTTCCGACGATGTAAGGGACTTTAGCGGTGTAGTTGAAGACGGCAAGGTGTACCAGGTCTACTGGGCCGATGACGCGCGAAGAAAAGGATCGTTCTACGACGCGAAAGTACTCTACATGGCAGGTGAGTAGAACTGAAGTAAGGCGAGTGATGTACGAGTGCTTTGCATAACATGCTAACGGCTTAACTGTATTTGCAGCCGAAGCATCTCGTATAAAACGAATAGTCAAATCGAGTTTCCGCAGCGGTGGCGTAACACAGCGGTTGAGGAGTCCGGTTTGTACGCAAGCGGTCGCGGGTTCGATCCTCGGTGGTCCTGCTTTTTTTATTTTTTTTTTCTCAAACATTTTGTTTTATCGAGGCATTTGGGGATATTTATGAGTGCGTATAGCTTTACTCTTATATAAATGCTGCCCTTGTTCATGAAATTCCCTTGGCAGTGGCAGTCAGACGTCATTTGATGGACCATCAGATGACGTCTGACGGTCCATCACGTTCCACCAAGGCTGCTGAGTGGCAGTCAGTGTCCCAAATTACGTAGCTTGATGGTATTTTCAATAGGGTTTGTTCTATTTTTAGGTTGTGGGAATTTCGCTATCCGCATCGCTGGCGTGCCAATATTGTAGACTGGTTTAAACTGCTCGATCTTTTTCAGTGGTTTATGTGCCGTCTCTGCAATACATGGTGCTAGGAGGTAGCGAAACCTCCGACCATCTACAAGCGTCATCGCCTTTCCCCTCGCCACGCGAAAAAACAGGCATGTTCACGCGCAAAAAATGTGTGCACAAGCTGTCCATTTAGCAAGCTCCAGACGCTCCTCGTTATTTCAGTTTCTTCCCCCTCATGATCTACTCTGTGCACACGTGTCTTGTGTGCCTAGATTTGAGAGCGTTCCTCACTGCTCGGTGGGAACCACGTGGTTGATGGGCAGCGTTTGCAATGCGAGATGCGAGTAAGAGACGACAGCGTCAATCTTCCGCAGGCGTCTCCAAGCTCTGCTCAGCCTCATTGCCAACTAACTACCTTTCTCGCCACGGGAAACAGGCGAATGTGTATGAGAAACAATGGGCTGAGAAAAAAAGTGGCCGTCTTTAAGTTACAAAACTCTCCGTGTTTCAGGTTCTCCCTCTCTTAGATTTGGGTTCTATGCACAACTCTAGGCTAGGTGAGGCCACGCCTCCCGGAAGTAAAAGACGTGAAGGTGAGAATCAGGGAGCTGGTCACCTGCCCTAGTGTGCAGCGAAACATAGCGCGGCCTAACAACCGAAATGGGAGTCAGAGGAAAGTAAAATAAGTGCACGCCGTAAAAGTTGAGTGTAGAAGAAAACTATCTGACAGATATAAATATCAGAGTTGACATATACGCGTACTAAAAAAGTTATCACCCGATTGATGTGTACGGAGTGTCTAAATTAATGTCCAACGAGTAATGCACACTACAGTCCCCTTCGTGAGGCCCTTGTCGTGATACATTATTCTAGCTTCACATCTCTGATATAACAGAAAATTGTTTCTTCAAAAATATCTGGTATACTTATCTGACAGTATACTTTCATTTTATGGTATACCTCTCCTTTATTCAGCATGCCTTTATTTTATCCAACCACATGTTGAGAACAACTTGTGACATGCATATCTACACTTATAATTTTTATTGCACTAAAAATATTAACATTAGGAATACCGGTCATTGGGTGATTTTTATGGTATTCAGTGCTGTACATTATAAACAAAACAAAAAAAATAGTTGAAATGCTTTACCTGTGCCTGGTCTGTGGTCCACGTTAGGTCCGAAGTTTAAGTCTTTGACTCGCGCAACTTTGAAGACGCCGCTCCCGCTGCCGCTGGTCGTGTAACCCTTGCACATGCCATTCTCGAAGTCACACGTATCTGAAAATAGGAAGAAAGAAACTTTCGTCACAAACAGACGCAACTGCTCGACAAATAAGGCGGGTTTTAGAACAAATTGTTGCTCAGAACGTTTCGCTTCCAAATGCCTCGTTAAAAACTTGTTTTCATATATAAATCTTCCGCATTTTCTTTTTTTCAAATATGTACAGTTTCACTCCTGCTATCACCTCCACGAGGTGAGCAGTATTAATAAACAATAATAATAACAATGTGCCATCTTTACTTATATTAGCCGACGTACAAACAACGGCAGACAAAACACGAACAGGCGATCGACGGTTTGATTTTTACCTTCATCTCACCATTCGAAGACTATAAAAATGCCTACTACTCCAGTGGAAAGACCTTAGCCCGTCACCAGGTCAAAAAAAAAGAAGAAATCATAGATATATACAAACAGCTATTCGTCGGCGTGAATAATTGATGGTCGAGTTCGCGCTTACAGGGCCGTGTAGGTACACGAATTAGATTTTTTTTTTCTTTTTTTAAACAGTTACTTTTTTTTTTGCTATTTCAACCTGTTCGAATACCTTCCAATTATGATCCCATGAAAGTGAGAAGTTCAAAATACAGTATATTGCACCATTAGTTATGCACGCTTTTGTATTGTTTAAAGGGAAGCTACGGAGCTTCTTGGAAAAAATTAGTTAGAAGTGAATTCTAGAGTATTTTTACCCTGTGAACCCGAATACCCAAACCATTTGCTGCGTAAGTATTGTTAAACGCGAGAAAAACGCGAAAGACAGTCGCTGTTCGTGGCGTCATCGACGGCTCTTTTGGCTGCCCAAGGCTAGGGGGGCGGGGCTTCAGCCCTATTTTGAAATTGCTTTTGTGGCTCTCCGGCGCGTCGCATTGAAATATAATTTTGATATCTGTTATTCTAAAGGCCAAATGAACGCAATTCATGCGTTTTTTCTCAAATGTAGAAGTGCCCCATCTTCCCTTTAATCATGCTACTCTCGTATTTAAAATTTTTAATTTGGCTCTTCTGGAATATTATGGGGTTGAATTGATTTTACGCTGAACCTTTTTTTTTCATGAACTGTCCGTTTATATTAGTTTCTCTCCGGATGTGCCACATGGCGAGGCAGAAACAGAAGGCAATATTCACTTCTTCACTCTCAGAAATACAGTGCGTCTACGTAACGCATTGGCCTATAAAGTCAATTGCGGCAACCTACGGAACGGTCTCGGCGAATGAAGGGATGAGGGAATATATTTAGATGTATAAATATCTGATCTGTGAAACTGGAGATTATGAAACATCACTAACTTCAGGCTTGTGTCGCAGCGCCAATTTTTTTTTTCTCTCTGGGTCTAAATATATTTTCTTCCTCATTATTAACCGAACTACCTCCATATATTGCAGCGATTGGCTGTCCCAAATGCATTGCGGCGAAGTAGATGCACTGAATACCTTAAGGGACTGGCTGAGCGCTTAACCTACAGCGTTGAGGGTATAGTCCGGCTGCGGCACTCCTGAGTAACTGAGAAGTACTATTCCTCGAATCTTGCAGTAGGAAGGTTAACATCTAGGAGTTTAGCGTTTTGTGAAAAGTAAGACCGTTGCACAATGCAAGTAGCTCTTTCTGACCCTCACATCCGGTAACGAGGCATGCGTTGACTTTATAAACTACGACCGTAACTTCACAACTTTGACCATTATAGCATTACAAAGACGATCGATTGATTTTGATTTTTTTTTACGTTTTTCGCTCACGTTAACTGTGTAATGCACTCATTAATGCATTAACACTTTTGCGCTTCGTTGTCAACAAAAGGCGCGTGTCACGTCCCACCACCTGGTTTTTGGTCATAACAACGTGATTTCACTCAATCCACCCTAGAAATGTAGTTCTCCTAATAGCTTTTTTATGCTTACTTTTATATACCATGCCAGCCAGCATCTCAAATTTCTATTTTTGCGCCTAAAGTATTGTTCTAGAAAAATGTATAAATGCAACTCAAATTACCAACTCTAAATACCAATGAATGCTTCGCTCACTCCGCCTAATTTATCGAACTTAAGTACCACGTTTCTAAGCATTCCACTACACACTGGGAGATTAACAAAGAGAGAACGTGGAGACCGCCGTACATTTTATCATTTTCTCCGCATGATTAGATAACGCTGTTAGCCGGTTAGAGCACCTAAAGGCGAAGCAGGAATAAGCGACGCTTTTTGTTTCAATGAGCCACGCATCGTGTTTCTTGATGTCGGTTACCTGAGATGAGCAGTAGTCTTGCGTATTTTTTGGCATGTTCTTCATATTCTTTATAGTTCACTTTAACAAACTATTTAGTATTATGCAACGTCAGTGTAGGTACATGAAACAAAATTGATAATTCATTATACGAATCTTTTTTTTTTATTTACTTTATTGCTACAGCAATTTAGTTTGACGTGATAGATAGAAATATGGACGCCCTTACAACTTGAGAAATATTTTTTACAAAACAAAAAATAAAAATTGCAGGTCAAATTGCCCTGCAAATGCGTTGCTACGTAAAGCCTTCATTTCCTTGCTAAATCTAGCGGGAAAACTGAATTTGAGTACAGCTCGCGTGACATAGTCATTTGACATCATTTCCTACGCTAAATTTAACGGGAGAACTGAATTGGTCTTGAGAACATATGTGACGTGAATTTTTCCACTAAACTGATTAAATACTTAGGTCACGTGACACGAAGTCACGCGACGTCCATTTTCCTGCCAAATCTAGTGCGAAACTGAACTTGAGTTTAGCTCACGTCACACAAAATCATCCGACGTTATTTTTCCCGCTAAACTTGGCGGGCAAACCGAATTGACTATTTGCTAAATCCCACAAGCGCCCGGCTCGCACTCGAGGAAGGTGTTTTTTAGTGATCGGTAATTTCGGCCAGTTCCGCGCTTACACTTGAGTGTAATCCGGAGTCATACCGAATAAGTGTAGTTTAGATTGCCGAGACCTGTCATATAAATTTTCGAATTTCTTGTGAATGTCAGCGTTTAGAATACTGAATACATTGAATACAATCCACCGTTCAACCTGGCTGAACGCAAAACTCTCATAGTATTATTATAATTTTGGTACAGCTTTGAAGACGCTGATATTACATTAGAAACGAAAAAAAAAATGGTATAAACAGCCCCACAGATTACGAGTTAAATTCGGTTGTTAAATAATGTAAATTTTAGGGTTTTTAAAGACCAGCTCCGGTAGAAAACGATACCACAATAAATGGCTGGTATTGCTTTAGTGGCACGAAATAGGATCACAGCCGAAATACTACGTCAAGGTGAAGCCCTTTACTCCACTAAAACCGATTTTAAAGATCAATTTTACCGACAAGTTTAGCGGGTAAACCTTAGATATCTGTAGGTCACGTGACGTCAATTTCCCACTGAATATAGCGGGGAAACTGAATTTGGGCATGGGTTACGTGACATCATGTCACCTGACGTCAATGTTTCCGCAATATTTAGTTGGGAAACTGAATTTGCGGATAAATCACGTGACACGAAGTCATGTTCCATCCTTTTCCCCCAATAAATATAGCGAAGAAAAAAACTGTATTGGCGTTTGAGGTCACCGTGACGTAAATTTCTCTACTAAATCTAGCCGGTCAATTTAACTTGTGCGAAGGTCACGTCACCCGAAGTCACGTGACGACATTTGTTTTCCTCGCTAAATCTAGTGGGGAAACAAAAGTAATGTGACGTCGCAGTCCACGGCTTCCCCAAACCCGCATCAACTAGCCAAAAATCTTTTCACATAAAATCACTTCACGAAAACACTTTCTGCTCACAGATGCTTTTGAGACATCTATCTGGCCTCAAACGCTCTTGGCGAACAAAAGAAAAATAGCCGCATGCCAGAATTTAAGACCTACGTGTTTCACCAAACATCGGCCGAAATCTTCATGCCTCAAACAAATATAAGCATCAAACAAAACCAGAGTAGAATCCATTTTCGAGTACTCAAACGGTTTATTTATTGAGGTGTACAATGTTTATGTTACTCAAGATTTTAATTAAACTTGTTTAATTAACCTGACAAAAAAATGTTTAAAATAATTGCAGACAGTTCTATTTCCATTTTTGACGGGCATCATCAAAAATCCACTAAATCACTCAAAATCGAAGTATGTCGAGCGCGTAATTTGTCCGATGACGCTCACCTAGTTTTTATATTGAATCGTATGTTTTCTTTGAGGACCAGAACAGTAATTATGCAACCCTAAGTAACCACTCAGTTGTCGACAATTTTTTGTATTTCACTGCTCACCCAATTGAGCTCTCGGCAGTTACTAACACGACACCCGCCCCTTTTATTTTATGATGAGTAGTTCTTCCAGAAAAGATTGGACAGACATTTGGAAAGACATCTTCAACAAAGTACAATTTTTTTGTTTTTTCTTGTAATCGACTCTTTTTTTTTTGTGACGAGCGGCCTGAACACGATTGCGTTCAATTTAGCCGAATGTGCTCTTCATTGTTTTGTATATCAAATGAGTTGGCTCAGCTATCAATTTGAACCAATAAATGCTTTTCAAAATTTTGTCAATCAGCAATGGCAGCCGCCATAATTTGAGCCTCGCGTTACGTTTTGAAATTCATGATGGATCCGAGTTCATTCTGAGCCCCGACGCAGCACTCGTTTCGAATAGGCTTGCACCCGAGTACGCCCCGAATGATGACGCAACGCTCGTATCCGATGAATGCTCCAAGTGCTTTCCCAGACTGTAGTGACCTCTGATCAGCGTCTGGAGGGCGCGACCTATTGAAAAGGTCTTGTTGAATAATTTGTGCTGCATTAATTGATTTTAAGCGAATGCCTTTGTAATGTTCAAGTAGGGCTCAAAACAAACCTTCCAGTCCCTCGTAAAAAACAAAAAAACAAAAAAAAAACGTTTTTTTTTAACAGTTTTCACATTACGGAAGTATATTCCGAGCTCATTATTATATCCACGGATTAGATTATAACAAATAATAGTGCCAGAAGGACTGCACCATGCACGCACTTGAAAGGCCTATACCATAAAATGCTTAAATTGGAAGAGCTCGAATCCTCGCCCATCAGGCCTAGCTGAAAAATTTAAGTTGCACGGGGGCTCTAATTTTCGCGACTCAGGGTGGTGGGCTATGAATTCGTTATCATTTAGGAAAACATATTCGATGGATCTAAAATTAGGTCCTTGCGAAAATGAGGTCCTTTACAGAGTTTCTGTTAGGGTTGTTCAAGCTTCAAGGCAAGTCGTTGAGGGTACAGTGGTAAAAATTCATAACACCCCCCCTCTTAAAAAACAAACACAAAAACAGTGTATTGCTATTGGCAAAAAAATAATTACGCACTGCCAAACACAGAGTTTCCGCTAAATTCTAGCACCAGACATATCAATCAGCCACCAAAGATTAACAAAAAAGCGTCATCCGAATCGCAAGTTTTACGCAAACTTCGGAAACTTTCCATGGCGCAAAGAAGCGAGAGCGGTCCCCTATTTTTAATTGAAACTTTAAGTTAACAACTTACAACTCTTTAGTAAGGCAATGGTTAGTTCTGCAACTTTGACATCTGGTGCGGATCGCTAGCGCCGCATTTGGAAGGAGACTGAGCACTCGGTAATAAATGCTTTATTCTTGAGGTAAAAATTACTCTTAAGGTAAAAAACACTGCAACTGCAACGAAGAACAAGACGAGACGGGACTCAGCTTCTTGTGCTTCGTTCTTGTCCTGTTCCGCTGTCTTTACTTCAAAATGTAAGATAACAAACTAACCCTCACAAAAGCATTTTGGAAAAAATAACACTATAGTTTTTTTTGGGGAGAAGGCACTGCGAAATGCGCACGGATGATCCGCACTTCTCTTAGACTCTAGAACTCGACAGTTTATTTTTAAAAATTGATATTTTTTTTTACTTTACCATTACGGAAATCGCACTAACACCACATGCACCCAATCGTACGGCGACGTTTTCCTAGTTAAATAAACATGTATTAGTTACGTTAGACACTTCTACATAACAAATCTAAAAAAAAAGGAATCTCCAGTTTCAATATAAAGTTTAAGGAAATCTTGAGGTAACAAGCCTCAACCGTCTCGCAGCACGCGCGCACGCACGCACAAAACAGGTATTGTTAATGTCGTGAAATCCTCTTCCGCTTACTGCTCATCGTCCTAAGCGAAAAACGATAGGGAGTTTTAGTAGACCGTGTTTCCCCCTCCGCTAGCCCTCTGCTACGAAGAAACCGCCACGCGCCTGCACGCCGATGGCCTTGGCTGTAGAGTAACGGGTAGCGGAGGGGCTTAGCGGAGCGGGAAACTCGGTCTTCTAAAACTCGCTAATTTGTATATTCTCCGTTTACGTTCCGACCGATAGCGCGACCAATAGAGCCAGTAATCAGTACAAAAAATGCAACGTCGTCAAGATTGATTTTTTTTTTTTTTTTTGGGGGGGGGGGGTGGGGTCGGTATTACCGACTAAACAAATTACACTGAAGTGCATGATTGTCGCGCATTAACTCTGCATGATTGGTGGAGCCAGGGATACTAGACGCACAAAGGCGAGGAAAACCACCACGAGGCACTTTTCGCACAGCTCGATTAACGTCGGCTGCGGTCGAGAAATGGAGTGTAGACAAGACAATCTCTGATATATAAACCTCGTTAAAATAAACAAACAGCTCGAGTTTCTTACCTGATGTCACATATGCGGCACACTGCAATAGGACGATAGCCACGAGGAAGGCGCTCCTTGCACGTTTGTGAGAACTGCTTTGTTTGTGGGCCATGCTTCAATTGCTCGTCGAGTTAAGAAAAGTTGTCAGCATGAAAACCACATTTCAGATCGGACGGAAACTATCGAAGGAAACGACCAAATGCCTCCTTCACCTCCCGGCTGACGAGTGTGACCCTACGGCCCTCGGCGTGCCCCTTGTAGAGGCTTGAGTAATTTCGTCAGCGACGCCCGTGCGCCTACGGTACGGGACACTCGATTACCGAGGCGGATGAAATACTGCGATTCCCGACGGTCGCACTTCCTTCTTTTTCTTGCTGCCGTGACTACGTCGAAAGCGATAACGTCGGGATCCATTGTTTCTTCTGTGGTCATTTGATCCCGTCGATAAGAATTATCTTTCGATTCAATACCCAACAGCTATGAGGAAGGCTTAATCTTGGGAGACGTTTCAGGTACTGACTCCCATTGTCGGCTTTGAAATAGTAAAAACAAAAAACAAAAAAAAAGCGTGATTCTGGGAAAACGTCGAGACGTCGCACCAGTCTACGGCGTCTTGAACGGGTCCCTAACATGTGCAGTTGGAATCCTATTTGGCTGATGCATCGAAAGGGCTGGCTTTCAATTGGTCGAACGACGTTTTAGCGAACGCCGACTTCTCATCCAAAGACATTTAGCGTACGGTTGGCCACGCGTGATCGCACGGCGTGATCGCAGGGGGATGCGGTAGGTGAAGGCGCGCAGCCGTCATTCTCTAAGACGTTGATTCGCCCAAAGAATCCGCGGTTCACTAAAACGTCCTTTACTCATGTGACATGAACCCCCGCTTTTGTGACACCACCGGGAACACCTCTGGTGATATGACACTGCTTTCATGACATAGTCACGCAAAAATCGAGGGGCGACTTTTTATGTCGCTTTTTATGACACACCTGCCAGAAGCCTGTTCCACGCAGCAAAACACTTGTCCGAATGTGCAGCGAAAGCTTACGCGGCCTAGGGGCGAAAATGTGAAGCCGAAGAAGGGAAATTAAACGCGCACCCTCTCACTTTCAAATAGAGGAAAGCCACAATGTTTCCCGCGCTGTAAAAGAAACCGGAAAAAGTGGCAACTGCACATAGAAACCTCAGAATGTCAACGAATGTTCATATATGTGATGAATATTCAATCGTAAAACATTAAGGGCCGGTTGCACCAACGTCGCTTAGCGCACAGCGGAGCTTAGCCGGGAACTTAAGCTTAGTCTCGGTTTCGTTCGGTTGCACCAAACTCGCTTATCGCTAAACTTAGCACTAAAATACGCTTAACTTGAGCGCGCAACATTGGGCGCTTTGCTTCTGGTTCTTTCAACGTTGGGTTGTTTCTTAATCCTGGATTAAAAACATGGCGGCTGGTTTGTCGCGGTCGACGCGGTGGACGAAATTGGTTGTGCAAAGTGTTTTAGGCTACATCAGCGTGAAAGTCTCGACAAAATGACTTTTGATTGTGACAAGGATGCAAAATATTGTCGCGTGAAGTGTTTATCGACCCCTGATTTCAAGTTGGCTCTCCACTTTCAGGGCGTGTTAGCCCTAACCGAGAAACGTACAGAGCTGTGGGGCTCACGTCTGTATTCCCGTTGGTTCTTCTGTCAACGAGCTTATTCGTATGTACTTACTAATTTTCGCATAGCTGTAACGTATTGTTATTTACCACCTTGTTTATTTACACTTGCAGCGCTTATCCTTCCATCTGATCAGCGCGTTGAATAGTGGCAGTACAGAATCTCGGCGATCAGCTGATTGTCGACACCTCTGCCGTTTGCATTAGATTGCGGCGCTTTTAAGTAATAAAACAGCGAAAATTCAATTTCTTTCGTTTTCTGAGTTTTGAGACAATCTTCAGTGAATTTTCCTTATCTCGCGAGTAGAATCTTGGCTTCAGAAAACTGTATCGTTCCATAATTCTGTAACTTTTTGGTGATCGCATTTTTTTTAATATACTTTGCTTTATATCTTTCATTCGTTTCCCGAGAACGAGATACTGTCGTTTCCGAGTTGTGCTCTGTGATGGTGTTTTCCCTTTACTTTTGTCGTTTGTTGTCATTATGACGATGGTTGAGACTCTATACCGGAACACGTTTTCAATAAAATTCAGTTGAAAGTTGCGCCTTGTTGTGTCCTCCGTAACTTTTTTGGTGATCGCGATTTTTTAGGAATATTTTGCTTTATATCTTTCATTGGTGGCGACGACAAATCGTAACGACTACTATGCTAGATTCGTTCATTGCTGTTTCGGGGCAGGCTGGGGCAGGCGATGCGAAGAGACGACTGTTCTTATCGGCACGATGTGATGTACTAGTGGGAGCTTTTTTTTTTTTTTTTTTCTGAACTCGACAGTGTGAAACTGAAGTCCGTTTGAGGCTGCAGCGTATGTTCAACGACGGTACGGTGCAGTTCTGTCAGCTTGCTGATAGCAGCGAGTACCGCCGATGCAAGTTCTCGTGACCTGACCTCTCGACGACTTCTATTCGACGATTTCGGGGCATTTTCGCAGCTGCCGTGGCGAGTTTGTCACTGTTTTGAACTTGATCGGTCTCAGGCTTGACTTGATTTTAGTAGTCATCTTACCTGCCTACTTATATCGATGATGTTTTGTCTTCAGCGATGTAGCGAGTAGAGTCCCCGATGGCTCCTTCACCTCAAAATGTGAGCACGAAAACTACTACCACTGTCAAAATATCCTGTTATCAACCGATATTAAACACACAATCACAGATGTAAAGAGCATTTGTGTTTATTTGAAGCTTTGACTTCTGTTATTGAAAGTTAAACGAAAAAATGATTGAATTTGGAGACCTTTAATTTGTTACTCACCGAAGAAATACTGCGAAAAGCAGACGCCGACGACGACTACTACGGCAGTTCTTTTTTTTTTTTTTTTGTTTACATCACGTGATTCCTCTCCGCCAATCGTATTCGTCGCTCTGAGCGTTCCCTAGTTTGCTCTGTTTGTCCCTAGATTCCCTACGCAAGTCCAGCGTTTAGCTAGGGGCGCGTCAGTAAAGCCGGCTTAACGTTGGTGCAACCGGAATTTAAACCCGTGCTTACCTAAGCTCGGTTTAGGGCGCTAAGCCGGCTTAGGAAAGTGCCGCTTTGGGTTAAGGTAAGCGGCGTTGGTGCAACCGGCCCTTAGACGTGGTTCTCTTTCAATAAACTTGCCAAGGTCAAAAGCGGACACGTTCGCGGATGACCGACTTAGCGATGGCTGTAAAACGCTGGGTGGATTTTTTATTGTATGAACACGTTTTGCCAACCTCGCGCACGCTGGCCCAGCATGCACCAGATTGGCGGTACCTGAGTCAAAATGGCAGAGCGTAGCAACTTACTGAACTCTATTATAAAGGGACGGGTAGCGCATAACCGTTCCCCGAGCAGTGCTCAAGTGAAGCCACCGGAAGGTTGATGCTTGTCCCAGAAGTCAGGCGTCTGCTGGGCTTCCTAGTGCAGTCAGTCGATGTTTAGGTCCGTACTTTCCGCTGTCTTTGAGTGGGTTTTCATAATTATGCTCCGAATTAAATCCCGAAAATGAGGCATTTGAACTTGGGACATTTACACTTCTTGATCACTTAGATGGTCAAAATGTATACATTGAATGGCTTCCTATGATACTTCTCTGGTCTACATGCGCTCTTACTGCGCAACTATCAGACTCTCTTGAGGTGACAAGCGAAAACCTATCGCCATTGACGTTTTTCGAACCAGCATTTGGAAGGGTTACAGCAACGAGGTAGAGGGGCTTAGAGCGATAAACCGGGGTTCCGGTCTGCACTCGAAAGTGACCCCCATAAGGCGGCTGCCATTGTACGCAAATTCGACCACTCGTCACATGACCGAACCAAATGCTTGACGTCACAGAAAAGATGGCAGCGCCCATGCAGCGGCTGGCCCCAGCTAGGCCGGAGCTTGTCGGATGCTTTGTTGGTTGTCGTTCGTCTCGGCGAGTTGATTTCAGGCGCAGAAGCCGTCATATGAGGCCGGTCGACAGCGACTTCAGAGTTCAGCGTGGTGTCTGACGTAGGTACAAGGTGAAAATACGGAGGAACGGTGTGCATTTCGCTGGTAACCGACGGCGATATTGCCACGGAAGAGACAATCTACCCTACGTTGCTCGCACCTCGGATTGATTCGGATACCGCTAGGAAAAAAATTTAAGTCGACGTTTCTGTGCTCTCGTTGACCGTCGGAACCTTCGAGATCTGCAGTAAAGCCTGTGCAATATATTTGGATACACAGTTTAGCGACGGAAATTGCGTGAGTCGTGCTTGGCAGTGTGCAATCGTGGTGTCGCTTCGTTCAAATGCACGAAGGCTCACTTTGGTTGTGCGGTGCACCGGAGAGCTGCCTTGCCGCTTTTAGTTCCCGTGCCGTGCTAAGTGATACTGTGCTGCTTCCCAAATTGTTTCGGCGTAGACGTGCTCTTTTACGGAGCACAGGTGTGCGGCGCGCCTAAGAGCTGCCTTCAAGCTGGTAGTTCCTGTGCCGTGCTTTAGGTGATGTTGTGCTGCCTACTAAATTGTTCTGGCGTAGACGTGCACCTTCACTGAGCACAGGTGTTGCAGTTGGTATTGAGTCCGCTGGCCTGTCGCACGTTTCGTCGACACCTAAGTTTGAACACTCGTTACGCGAATTGCAAGCTGTGTAGACATTTCATCGCGCGCGTTACCTACCCAGTTTACCCATTCACGCCGCTTTGCGACGGCAGTCTGCAGTGGCTCATTACCAGAAAAGTGGTCTCACATCGATTTCATTTCAGCTCGTCCACGGCAGTCGCCAGACCCCGAAGGAGAGGATTTATTCAGACAGAATGCCACTAAAACAGTGCAGCTTCTTTAGTGGTCACGATAGACTCTCTTCTGTCTCTTTTGTTATACTGTCTCGGATGCTTGCTCCAGTCCTATTTTCTATCAATATTTACTATTCTGGAAAGTTCCAGGCCATGCTCAGCTGTCAATGTATGTTCCGGTGGAGGTGCTGCACACTTTACCAATTGCCCTTCACTCTGTGTCTACCCTGGCGGCTCCTCAGCCGAGTTGCCCGATAACAAGACATGGGTGGCACAATATCCCGAGTCTTAAACCCCCGGCGAGCCGTGAACCAAGTCCTATCCCGAGCCCGGCAGAAA